CTCCAGATTGGATTTGGTTTTCTTTGTCCATTGTATGCAGCACCACTGTCTGAATTAATAATGATGATATGTGACAAGTGCCCAACGCTATTATGGTGGGTCCCATGTTTCTCCTTTGTGTGATGGGTCAGTGCGCCGCCTCTTGCCTCTATTCTTGAGTGTCAACAGCTCCGCTAGTGCCCTGGTGGGGAAGAGAAGGGGAGCAGTGAAGGGACCCAGGCCCACCCTCTACTCCAGGTCCCAGCCCAAGGGCCCTATGGACAGCAGCTGAGCACTTGGAACTGCAATTCTTTCCCCTAGGTTACCTCCCGTTCTGCACCTTCAGCTTCTTCTCTGGCTTCTTACCCTCCCTCCCCTTAGGCAGGGTTTCTCTCAGTCCTCTGTGCCTGGGGAGTCCCTCTGCTCTGCTCTGCTCTGCTCTAGCCCTGTTTCCCTCCCCAGGTACTCTGATCCTCTGGTCAACAACACTGCTTCTCCAAACTACAATCAGCTCTCCTTCCCTCCTCCCATGTGCTTGAAGCAGGGGTTTTTATTAGGTCTCTGGCAGGGCCTTAATTGGCTCCAGGAGCTCTAATTAACCTGTAGTAACCTCTCCTCAGTCCACAGACTCTGATCATCCTGGGGCTTGTATACCTCCCATCAATTTCTCTCCTGCTGCCATCTGGCCCCACTGTATAACATACTACAGTTAATTTTCTATTCTATATAGGTTCTAATACCACGCTCATCACTGTAGTGTCTGAGCACCTTTCAGTAGTGCCTTAAGTGATGTGACTAATAGCTGCTGTGTGTGGTTTGTTCTCTTGTCCTCTCTGCAATGTGCAGTGGGCTGTTTTGTTTTGTTTTTTAATTGACAACTGTGCAGAGTGGATCTACTAGTCCTGCAGTTTAAAAAAAAAAAATCAGTGAGGAAGGAAATGTTATATGCAATTTCATGGGTACAGGAGCATTTCTGAGCATTCCCTTGGGAACTACTTCATAATGGACCTTCTAGTGTATTGACCCATTTTGATTTTAGAACACTATCAGATTGGGGCTCAGGGGCCTGGTGGCCTAGTATGGTCTCATCTTGACATTTCTTCCGCCGCAATATGTCTAAAATCCATCCTTTTCTTTCTGTCCAAAGAGTCAACACTCTCATCCAGCATCGCAACTCCAGTCATGACTGCTGTTATTTATTATGTGTATTGCCAGAGCACCTAGCAGCCCCAGTTACTGACCAGGTTCCCATTGTGCTAAGCACTGTAAAAACACAGAACAAAAAGATGATCCTTGCCCTGGAAAGCTTAATTCCTTCTGTTTGGCTGCCCTAACACCTGCATCACCTCCATGCTGCCAAGATCACCTTTTTTGTTTGTTGTGATGATCACATCACTCTCACACACATTCATCTGAGACCCTCCTCTAGCTCCCTGTTGCACTGCATAAAGTTCAAGCTTCTTGTCCTCGCCCTCTAGGCCCCTTAACTCTGCTCCTCCTTCTCCACTCTTGTCTCCTATTACATCGTCCCTTGCCACCTCTGCTTCAATCAACCCTGGCACTAACTGTTGTGGTCTCATCCCTCGAGCACACTGTGCAGTCTACCATGACTGGCATGTACTTTGTGCTTCAGAGCAAATATTGAGCGATTTAAAGCAGCCTTGCCCATGCGTGCCTGGCTGGACAGTATCTCATTTTAAAGATCTTGGCCTCTCTTTCCTTTGGTCACTTGTTTGGAATAGTCATATTTTTTTCAGTCTGACTGACTGACTAATTTTAAGTTGAAGGAGAACAACAAAACAAGAAAGAGAACAAAAGTCAGATCTCAAAATGGCAGCTGGCCCTGCACACAGGCAGGCTCCTGAGAAATTTAGACCTGTGCAGTACAGAGAAAACAAAAACATGAGCACATATACCATATCTCTGAACAAGCTTGTGTTAAGCTAAAACTAACACAAGGGAATGTATATCCATCCCTCCTGCTGTATATGTCTATTACTGGCTCATTCCTGAGCTGCCGGCCATTGAGTTTATGCAACTGCAGTTCCAACTGGTTCCAGGAGTAAAAAGTTCAAGATGAACCACGGAGCAAGGTGAAAGTCTAGGGAATGCCTATTCCAGGGAGGGGATCTAAATCCTGCAGTGAAAAATCTCAGTAATCTACTCCAGCCCCCAGGCAGTTAACACTGCTAGCGCTGAACTCACCAGAGGAGAGCTTCTAGGCCAGACTGCAGTACTGCGCTGGCTTGTGGTGTCAGGCAGGTGCTAGCAGGGGGAAGAATGCCCATATCCACAATGCTGCAGGAGAAAGAAATTGGTTAATGAGGGAGTAGATGATGAGGCTATAGGGTGTAATGTAGTCCTGTATTTTTTTTTATTTTATTTTTTTTAGTGCAGGAACTCTGCCCTGACTGGTGTGATCCCTTCCCCCCCAGCTCCTGGTGTGTTTCTGTAGAAAAGGCGCCCTCCATGGGGCGTGACCTCGCAAGTCCAGTGCATGTGAGGTCAGAAGTGCAGGAACACCTTTCCCACTGGTTCCCACCCCACTACTTTACTTAGCTGTAATACACTTCTCTATAGAGAACACTTTTTTGATTTCAGTTTAAAGTGATAAAATGCAACTAACTGAAGGGAAGACTCTGAGAATCATTGTTTAGTACAAAATACAAAGGGACGGGCATTCCCAATATTTGCTGTTGTGTTTTCGCCATTGTTTTTTCAGTTAGAATTGGCAAGCAATTAAAGGCCAAAAGCATTAAAGATCGCTTTTCATCAGAACGATGTGGAGGCAAGACACCCTTCATTGTTCATTTCAGATCCTACTGCTGCTGTTTTCAATTTATGGTTACAATTTTGCACTAATGAGGAAACGGGGTTTTGGTTCATTTCAGAAAGGAAACCGTTATACGTGGCAATCAGAGCGACTTCCTGCTAATAATAAGTAAGGCACAATTTCTGTAAAGAGTCCTGAAAATCAGAAACCGTAGTTACATTGTGACAAACCTCTGGCCACCTATGGCGTCACAGTTATGATGACCATTCAGAAAGTCACCATTACAGCAGGGATAGAGAACTCCAAAACCACAAGATCCTACCTCTTAAATTGAAGGAGCATCTCTCTTATTTGCTCACAGTATGGAATGTATTGTTGAATAGTTCTAATTTTGTCCAGTACAGGGCAGTGACACACACAGTAGCCATTCATTACAATGTAAAATGTATAATACATTAGGTTCTCAAAAGCACCAAATATCTCCTCTTTAGGGTTAGTTTGTTTTTTCAGGAAAGGTGATTTTATTTATTATTATTATTATTTATTATTATACAATTCTTACAGTTCTGGTGACAATTGTATTTAGTTCAACAACATCAGCTCGAACATTACTCAGCTATGGTATTTGGCTAAAAAAAACCCATCAAATGGGATGTAGTGACTCATTGTGGCAGAAGAGAGGAAACAATGGCCATTGCATAGAGGATGCTTATTCATTCTTTACAATTTTTTCAAAAGGAAGTCACCATGGTATCACAACACTGGAGCATACACAGCACGGTATCTCTCATCTGTGTTTAGACACACATGGCTCCTCCCTAGAAAAAAAGTTTGAAAAGTATAACAAAAATCAGATAGGGCAAAGTCACAAAATTAGATGTGTGTTTTTCTATGATGGGATTACTGAGTGTGTGTGTGTGTGAGTAACCCATCCATTCCCCTCACTTACTCAAACAAATTTAAAACCTGGAAATTGTAATGCCTTATCAAAAATCAGTCACTGTACTCCAAGTTTATTAGAGCATAAGCTTTCGTGGACTACAGCCCACTTCTTCGGATGCGTCCACGAACGCTTATGCTCT